AACCACATATTTCAGAGGACTCGCAACTTTTCAACCGCACATTTCATTAACTTTTATCAAAATTTAGTAAAAATCTGATTTTAATCCCCATTAAATAGGGCTTAGTGTGCAAGTAAGGAAGCAATTTGACTATCAACCCTACGGTGGCTACATTACAACCAGAAATTTGTTTTTTAGACAACACTTTTACCTTATTTATTTTTTCATTTACCTAAATAAAATGATAATGCATTAAACATTTTCTATGAATTACCTAAAACTTCTTTCCTTTTATTTTTGGATCCTGGAATGTTGTTTATTTGCAGGCAGTAAAAATAAACTATGGCAAGATTATTTGGCGGGTGGGGTGGGATGGCGTGGGGTGAACGCAGGGAAGAATTACAATAGAGGACAAACTGGCAGAGTAATGTACACCATAATTTTTTTTTTCTTTTTTTGTTTTTAATTTGGTTAGGGCATTAAATGTAAAATTGGTGTGGTGTATTGATCAATTAACAAGAATTGTTATGTGCTTTTGATATTGTCATGCTACTAGTTTTCAGTTTGGACATAACTTTTTTCCAACATATTCTACCTTTAACCTTAAATAAATTTATACTGTCTTTGACAACTTAAACCATAGTTATAAGAACCGGACTGAGAACTACTGAACAATTTGCAAATGAATTGATCAAGAACCGTTCAAACTGTTAAATAATCATTCGGATGGACTTACAAAAGATTAGAACAGGTTACATGTGAACCGACTTTTTACCAAATTGGTCCATAGCAAAATTTTATTTCATATTTGGTAAACGGTCGGTTCACTTGTAACCGGTTCTAGTCTTTTGTGAACCTGTCCGAACAGTTATTTAAGAGCATAATATATATATTATTCAAGTTTAGTGAAATGACATATAATAAAATATACATTTGACTTTTTATTTGATTTTTTAAATTGGAATTATAGTTTATAATGACCATCAAGTTGAACCAGTGACCACCGGTTGAACCAATAATCCGATGACCCGATGATTGTCTCTAGTCAATTATGATAACTACGACATAAACTATTAATTGAGGCGATTGGAGGATTTAATTATCATCATCACATGAGGCATGGATCTAAAATCAGCTGAAACAACTTACCAGAAATTAAAGCGAAACAAAAAATTACATTACATATTACTATTAATGTACTGAATGGAATGGTGAAAATTTGTGAGATTGTTCGGATAGTAATTTGTTTATCATTGTAACGTTGTTGTATTTGGAAAAGAACCTGAAGAATTACAATGCTACTATTTGGTGTAGATTAAAATCAGATTTTTAGTAAATTTTAATAAAATATGTGGAAATGCAGGGTCAAAAAGCCGTGGTCCAATTAAATGTGTGATTAAATTAATAATTTTAAATTAATTGTGGGGTGCATGTCATTGGCAGTTGAGCTAAATTAAAGGGACAACAAACAAAGCCGACTTTGTCAGGAATGAGGGATTAAGGTTGCAAGTTTTATTTAGTTTTGCATGTCAGCATTAACTTGATCTAACTAGATGTTGGATGACCCGTAATTATCAAAACTAGAGAAATTAAACATAGTTCCTAAATTAATATCATAGATGTAATAAATAAATAGGTAAAAAAAAAAAAAAACGAAAAGAACTGTTGGGTTGCCTCCCAACAAGCGCTTGTTTATAGTTTACAGTTCGACTATATATCGGCTGATCACGGGCACCTAAAAAAGGCTTTTGATGCCTTGTCAATTTTTTCTTTTTTTTGACTTTGATTCACTTTTCATTTGATATACACACCCATTCCTTGTCATTTTCAACATAATAGGAATTATCTATTCCATCCAACTCAACTTCAACTATGTAGATTTTTATCTCTTCATCATGCTTAATCACAGAATCAATTTTTGGACAATCAATAAAGTTGAAAAAATGTGAGTTGATTTCCTCCTTATTGATCGCCTCATCCTTGTTTAGCTCCATTGTGATTAAATTTTCACTCGTTTTTCGCTCTTCTTCAATTGTTGAACTCTCATTGGGTAGAATGATTGGTCCGCAATCTAAATCCACGGGTAATGAGAAGTCGGTCCCGACGACCCCTTCAAGTGGATTGTACCTCCAATGTTGAAATTCTTCCCAAAACATGCAATCTCCCGAAAGCATCATGCTTTCATCCAACTTGACCAGTTTTTTGAAATACTTTGCAATTACCTTTTCTTCTAATAGAGAAGGACCATTTCTTATAAGTTTGATGTCTTCATCCCAATTGTAAGGTATAAAATCTCCAACGAGCATGTACCATTCATCATTTTTGTCAATTGCTTGCTTCTGACACGTTAAATATTCTCTAAACGTCATAAATTTCAGCATGCGTAAACCAGAGTACGAGAACAAACATTGCACAGTACAATATATCGTGTAGCAATTATCACAACTCGGGGTATCCTCCAAGCATATCTTCATAATTTATATAAAGATTATCCATTGCAAAAGTTTCATTACCTTACCAAGTTAGAATCATGAAATTATCTAAAAAAGTATAAGGAGAAAGTGCAAACACGAGATAGATTAATAATGTGTAAAGATTATCCATTGCAATAGTTTCATTAGCTTACCAAGTCAGAATCATGCAATTCTCTGAAAAAGGATAGGGAGAGAGTGCAAACAAGAGATAGATTAATAGTACGGGGTTAGTAAAAAATAAAAGCAACAAAATAAAATAAAAGTTCGAATCCAATTTTGGCGATTCAAAATACATTGGAAAGATAACTCGAAAGGCTACAAATCTTCTAAATTCGAACGTTTTTTTATATGAAAAATGGGTCTCAAACTGAGACTGAAAATCCAAAGCATAATGTTTTCGACTGGAAGTTGATATGTGATAGTACTTCGATTATATTTTATCCATTTGGCTTCTTTCATCATCCAATTGATATCTAACACTCTCAAATCTTTATCGTGAGATCGACATAACTTTTCAATATTTGTACTTGAGTCCTCAAACTTTTATTTTGCTTCATTTTAGCCCTTTTTGCTTGTTTTTCCGAATTTTCACCACGTTCATCATTTTTAGCTTACAAAACACAAATTACACAGATTAAGCTATATTCGCATTTACTTTCTACAATAATTCATGTTTTGGGACATGTATAAGTGTGTAAAAAATGCACTTATCAGCTTTGCTTGGTTATTTTCGTTGATTCAAAACAATAAAGTCACGAACTAACATAAATCTCCACCACAACACTGAAGAGTACCATTATAATTGTACTATGATGGAAAATGCCTGCCTTTGATGTTTTTACTTGGTAATGTTTGAATTCGCAGTAGCAATGTTGTAGAGCAGCCAGTAGTAGAGGAACTCCATTGGACCAGCATGAAGCAAAATTGTCAATATCAACCCATTCGTCCTCCATACAGGAAGATGATGATCCCCCTTGATATAATAAAGTATCCTGGTTAACTTATTTTCTGATTGTATTACTTTTTGTAATAAGACAACTATAAAACCCATTTTGGAGGGATGATCAAATCATATTCAATGGGCTATTATTCTATTTGGAGGCCATGTATATCAATGGGGCTAATAAATTCATAAATTAAAGTTTGAATAATCATAAATTCAGAGTCTGAAAAAGGTCCTTGAGAGACAAAACCATTCAACAACCTAGGAGAAAAAATACGAGGAACTCGGACGTCTACAATTGTTCTTAGGAAATTGTGAAGACCCATAATTTACCATTTAAGTTGAATTTCGTGAATTAATTGAATTGTTAGGAAGTCGATTGTATTTAATTGTTCTTGGTGATGCAGCAGAGATTATTTGATTCAAGAAATGGATAGCAGGACCATGGAGTTGTGGAAAAATGTAGTAAGAGAAGATGTACATTTGTTTCATGGTGAGTAGGGAAGGCAAAAAAACTCGTTTAACCTGATACCCAGGGGCCCCGTCCTAAATGGGGTAAAGATTATCCGTCTAACCGGGTAAATGGAATAGGGTCGGGGTCATTTCCCCGAAGCGGATACAAAATGCGTACGGGAAACATAGTCTCCATCCCACTACTCATCCCGTTTAAAGTTAACTTCAAATTTAAGTTTTTTATCAAACAAAAATAAAACATTTATCACCATTTTTAAAAAGAACATAAGTTGTTCTTAACAAATTAGAAGGAAAAAAAGAGGTGATAATATTTTACTAACTAAAAACATAAAAATGAAAGAAAAACAAAAAATAAAATAAAATAAATAAAAGAAGTGATAAATGGTGTAGGTTTTGCCGTACCCAACATGTCCCGCTTTAACATGGTACGAGGATGGGACAATGTGACAAAAATACCCGACCAGACAAGGGTGAAAATGATTGATCCATCTCATACCCGCCTCGTAGCCATCCCTAATGGTGAGAGAGTGGTGTACTCTTAAAAATTTTTCTCTTCTTTTTAATTTTTTAATTGGCTTATGGCTATATTTTTGAAATTATTGTAGTAATTTCCATTTTATTGAAAATGTGTTTTAATTAGAGTGTCTACAAAGTGGTGCACAAAAAAAAATATCGTGACAATATACTCACCCTTGACCAAAACAGAGAATGTTCTAAATTCTAATCAATGAAAGGACTCGGCTATCCTCACAAGCACTTAATGAAACATGAACTAAAGCAATAATGCATCAACATGCTAAGAAGACTACAACTAATATTTTCCTCTTTTTTTTTTCCAAACCACAGCAAGAGACAACCATGGCATTTAATGGGTTTTGCTATTTGTAGACCCTCCTCACAATGGTTGGGGGGGCTGTAGTACACATAGCAAAACCCGCATTTAATTTGAGTAGACATAAAAAGACACCAAAACATATGCTTGATCCTGTTACTTTTTATTAAAATAAAAAGGATACTTATCCATCTGTAATTCACTCATCAATACTAGTGTTTGAGCTATTCATCAAATCATTATCTATATTCGAATCTGATAGTATAAATTGGATAATTTAGCATCTTTAAACAGAGTATCAATATGTTGTTTCAACCTCGTCAATCAATGAGCTGAAAATAGCATCGACTGCCTCAGAAACTTCTTCAATGGATTTCTCCCCTTCAATCTAAAATCGAAAGAAATGTCAGTTCCATTTCAGCCTTTTTCTTGGCTCAAACAAAAGTGAGCCAGGAATGAAAAGGAAGAATATTGACGAAATATGCTATTACTACCTTTCGAACCATCGCTCTGAAGTTGTAATATTCAATCACTGGGAGACTTAATTGTCTATAAACCTCCAGTCGCTTCTTCATTGTGTCAACGTTATCATCTTCTCTACCCTTCAAGTAGAGAACCAGAGAACAAAGAAAGAAGTAAAGGCAAATAAATAAAAAATTAAAACAAGATACAAGAGACAGACAAGGGTGGGAGAAATGGAAATATGAGAAATTTGGATTAGGAAGATAAAGAAAGCTATTTAATACCTGTTTCCTACTCAACAAGCGCTTAATCATTTATTCTCCCGAACAATCAAAGAAAAGCACAAATTCAGGTTCAATTCCTATCTACAAATGACAGAAGCATTTAATAAAACATGAAACTGCCAATGACATGCATTATATATTCTTCTAATGCTCTAAAAGAAAATGGAGACAATATGATGCACTGAAACAGGACATTACGAAATGAGAGCGTAAAACTAAAGAAAGACAGATATAGTAGATAATGGTGCTGGAAACAGATAGAGAGTTAAGGAATAGGTATAATAGGAGACATACAACAGACTCAAATGCCACACGATTCTCCTCATTTCGAGGGAAACCATCTATAAGAAATTTATCACTCCCACTTTCCTGCATTGCTCGTTGGATAAGCTTAACTATTATCTCTGAAGGTACAAGTTTCCCCTCATTCATCATGCTCTGAATCATAGTCCTGTACATGCAGCACCAATCATTAGACTAGTTGCAACTTCAAAGAGTTTGACAGAACAATCTGGAATGCTGCATAAAAGTTAAAAGAGATTGAGTAATAGTTAATGCCTCTTTTGGAGAGAGTTCACTTGAAGTAAAAAACAACATGCATTCAAGAAAATGAATACAACTGTCGTTCTGTTAGACAGAATACAAATCTAGAATGTACCTTCATAGTTAGTTGATATACAGATTTTTTATCTGTGACAAAGCAGGATTACCAAGAAAATGATTTAAAGAAACAAATATAAAGCTGAGAAATGAGAGCACTGATAAAGGAAGAAGAAATTATCCTCGTGTGAAAATATTTATACTTGGTTCATTTTCCTTTTTAAGAGGATCTGAGTATGTGCATAAAAAAATATGGCTCTACAGTGAAACAGTACCCGTTTTCAGAACCAGATTCTTTCTCTGCTCGGAGAATATCACCAGCACTAAGATGGGTGTAACCAAAGTTCGTGGCAATTTTTGAACACTGAGTGCCCTTGCCACTGCAAGGACCACCTGCTCGAGTTTAAAGGAAAGAAAATAGGACAGATATCAGAATTCTTACAAGTTAAAGCAAATTAACAAACAAAAGAACAGGGTAAATATTCATTGTCTTGAAGTGAAATTAATATAATATAAATACAATCTTCACCGAAGAATTCTGTTTCCATTACTATTATCCTTATAAAGAAGACACCAAGTTCAATATCTAATAGACAACGATTGCATGAAGTATATTAAAACCTATATTGAAATTACCAAAGAGAGGCATCAAAGGTGACGATATAAAGTTACTTCAAATTTCAATTGTGCTGAACATGCAAACAGCAACTTCTATGTAGACAAAGATTCATCAAACCATAATACCATAAAAATATGGAAACCACATAACTTACCAAGGGCAAAAATAACTTTAGCTTTCTTGTTAGAATCTACACGTCCACATGCTTCCTGAAATAAAAGTTAGTTTATAATAAATACTCTGAATTTTGTAAAAGCATTAAAACGTGAAAGTTAAACAACATCAAAAGAAGTACCTCGTTTGCAGTGTCAACAACAGTCCCCATGAGTGCCTGCTAAAAAGTTTTGATAAAATATCTGGCATATCGACATAAACACTAGGGGAAGTTAGATGGGCATTTCTTGTTTTGTGCTTTATTTCTAAATCACAAAAAATTCACAAATCACATCGCCCTTGCGAATGAAGATTCTAACAACAAAGCGATTCCATGAAATGCAGAAAAATAAACAAAGCTGTAAATTTGGTGGGCATCTGACTATATATAGAGACACTAGACACGGCACAACGTTGAACACATCAACAAGTTACTTTTCAGAAAATTAGGACACAAAAATGTCATTTACAATTCTTTAAATTACACATTTATATATAATGTCTTTATTTTTTATACATTTTTTTTTTTTTTCAACATTATGCTTTCTCTAGTTCTGATTTTGAATTTGGAGGTGAGAATCTTTTGACATGAGCTGCATAATTTTTTTTTCTCCCATTATCATTTACACAAATGTTTTAATAATTAAAACTTTTTCTAATTTTACTGTTGACAAATGGCTAATTATTCTAGAGACTTGTCTAGAAGCTGGATTGAAGTCAATGTAAATTAAAGATAGTTGCACAATGAAATTATGTTGGTTAACTCCAGAACTGGGATGATGCAGTTTCACTCCAGAAGTAGGAAGAGGCAGAAATATGAAGCGTAACAAAGAGTTAAGAGAGTCCATTTTCTGATTCAATTTTGAGAGGTCTCTTGTATATGATACAAACAATGAGAATGGGGTAGAAGTTCATCTCATTTTGCCGACATCTAACCTTCCATTATAGAGATAATCATCAAACACTTCTAACCCATGTCATATAGTATGAATTAAAGCATAAATCCCTACAATTGGGCATGTTAGAAATTTATCGAATATCGTCAGAGTGTCAAGAAAATATTATGATCATCAAAATCAATTAGGTACTTGCAGAGAGAAAATAAGAGATTAACAGAGAATATAATAAGGAGTTGCCTGATTACCTGGCAATGGAAAATATGAAAGAATTTATGAAGAAACAATGAGAATGGAAGAGCTCTGCATTCCGCTTGTTGGATTTGGCTTATTGAAGAAATGGAAGGGTGGAGGTGCGGGGCCGGCAGGGTTTAAGCGTTAAGTGACTTGTTAATTAAGTTTCCTTTGGTATGTTCACAAATATTGGAGTTAACTAAAAAGACATGTATCACATGGAAAGTCTTTTACTGTTTGGGTTTATATGTCATTTTATAGAGAATGTCAAGTTAAAAAGGAAGGAAAAAGTTTTTTGGGTTTATATGTCATATTATTTTATTGAAAAATGTATGCTCGATAAAAAAAAAGAGAAAAATAAATTATAATTTAATGAAAAATAATGGAACCAAACGGGGGCATATATAAATAATCACCAACCAGTAAGATGTGAATCATACAACTTTCGAAGAATAAATTATAATTTAATGGAGAATAAAGGAACCAAACGGGGCATATATAAATAATCACCGACCAGTAAGATGTGAATCATATAACTTCCATGTTTAATAAATTTTAATATAAATCAAAATCAATAATTAATTTTAATCATAAATTTCATGAGACCAACAATTTTTTAGCTATACATATTATCGACATTTATCAAAATCTATAAAAAAAATCTGATTTTAATCCTCATCAAACAACGACAAAATGTGTAAATAAAAAGTAGATTTGATTAGCTTATATTAAAATTTAAGCTTTTCGAACATAATATTTAATCTTTTTAATAAGAAGGGTGTATTACGATAAAAAAGAAGAAATTGAATAGATAATTCCTTATGAGATATCAATATTTCAAAATGAGTAAACATTAATACGAAGTGGTTATAGGTGCATTACTCAATGTTAAGGAAAGAAAAAAATTTGTTCATTATATCGAACGATGAAAGATTTAATTAAGATCATAAAAAGACTTAGAAAGAGAAAATTCTATAGAATATAATGTTTTAATATATTGTCGATGCTTATCTCCATTCAACAAGAGATCTAATAGTAGCTGGTATATAAAGAGTAAATCATCAGCCATCAGATCAGTCAAGAGATCAACGATCCAGAGCAGCTCAAGTGTGGGTTGGGTTGGGCCGGGTTTTGGGCCAGTTGCTTTGTGTTATTAGGCAATGGTCATTTAGTTATTTCCAACAATATGGGCCAAGCCCAATGGTTTCATCATTGCCCAATTTGTTGTATTCAAATGACTAAAATAACATCAATTCAACAAATCTCCCCCTTGAAGCCAATGCCATAAACCACCAACACATTAGTGTTTAATAACATCAACACCAAAGAAGAACATACCTACTAAATACACAAAGTTACCCTATATCAATTCTTAGAATTTGTAAGCAATATTTAAATTTGGTAAGAGGAAGTACCTTTATTCCCATATCCACATGATTATACCGTGTAGAGATATTTTCAAGCAAAATATATTATTTATGAACTATATCTCTAATGAAATGCAACCTAACATCTATATGTTTAGTCTTATCATGAAAAACAGGATTTTTACACAAATGAATAGCACTTTGACTATCACAATAAACTACAACAGGATCATGCAATTCATTTAGTTCACATAACAAGCCTTTAAGCCACAAAGACTCTTTTATAGCTNAAGCCTTTAAGCCATTAAGACTCTTTTATAGCTTCAGTAACAGCTACATATTCAGCTTCTGTAGTAGATAAAGCAACAATAGAGTGTAATTGAGACTTCCAACTAATGCAAGTACCACACAAAGTAAACACATATTTACAAAATTTAAAATGCAATCCTAAGTTTGTAGAACCTTTTAAATATCTCAAAAACCATTTTAATTCAGTCCAATATTCAGGACCAGGGTTTGCCATAAATCTACTGAAAATACTAATAGCATGTGCAATATCAGGACGAGTACACACCATAGTACACATAACAGATCCAACAACATTATCATAAGGTATCTTTTGCATTATTTAATATCATATTCATCATGTGGACATTGTTCTTTAATCAACTTAAAATGACGAGCAAGAGGCAAAGTAACATGCTTAAAATCATGCATAGCAAATTTGGATAACATCTTTTTCACATAATCAGATTGTGTTAAAAGAAGAGATTGTTGTGATCTATTTCTTTTAATATCCATACCTGAAATTCTCCTAGCATGTCCTAAATCTTTCATTCCAAATTCAGCACTTAAATCCTTCTTAATGTCATTTATATCACTCCTTTTATGTCTAACTAACGGCATATCATCAACATACAAAAGTAAGTAAACAATCACATCATTCTTATCATTTCTTTTAAAATAAAGACAATAATCAAAAGACACTTCGCATAAAACCAATAGAAGACACATAATGTCAAATCTAATATACCATTACCTAGGTTATTGTTTCAAACCATACAAAGATCTATTAAGCAAACAAACATGATTAGGCCTTTTAGAATCAATAAAACCTTGAGATTGTACCATATAAATCGTTTCACCCAAGTCACCATGTAAGAAGGCAGTTTTAACATTCATTTGTTCTAGCTCTAAAACATATTGAGCAACCAAAGCAAGCATGACTCTTACAGTAGTATATTTCACAATAGGAGAGAAAATTTCATTATAATCAATACTAGGTTTTTGTGTAAACCCCTTTGCAACAAGTCTAGCCTTAAACCTAAGAAGCTCTTTAGAAGAACTACCCTTCTTAATACTATAAACCCACTTACAGCCTACCAAAGACTTATCCTTAGGTTTAGGAAATAATTTCCAAGTATTATTCTTCACAAGGGACTTCATCTCTTCTTCCGTAGCATCTAGCCACTCATTAGATTGTCGACAACTCAAAACCTCCTCATAAGGTTTAGGCTCCTTGAAAACTAAGTCTTGATATGACAAAACAACAAAGGATTGATAATCACTCATCCTAATAGGTTCCCTAATCTCCCTCCTAACTTTATCACGAGCAAGTTGATAATCACTTAGAGGATTGATAGGAATGTAAAATGAATATTTTTTTCCTCCTTATTTTATGTGCTCGTATGTTTATTTTATGCCAAAATGTACTCATTACGTCCATATTTTGATTTGGGTGGCAATTATAAGGACATGGCGTAATTTGGAAGAAATATGTAAAAATGGACCAAAGTGAAAGGAAATGAAAGTTCAAGGACTAGTGTGCAAATATACAAAAGTTGTTTCGAACCAAACGATGAAGATTTGAGAGTTAATTGGTTGAAAAAAGACATCAAATGGATGAAATATCGTCAAAGTATGATCACACATCAATTTCTAATCGAAAAGTTATGCACCGATTTTCAGCCTCATATTGAGACCCATTATTGATATGACAAATGATCGAATTCGAAGATGATATTTGAAGAAAAATTGTAGCCCTTTGAGTTAGCTTTCTAAATCATCTTGAATTGCCTCAATCAAATATTGGGAAAAAAAGATATGACCAAAATACTGAACACTATCTTGTGAAAAATTGGTAAAACTCGCATGAACACTTGTAGGGAACTCCAGGGCCAGTTTTAAGTCTTCTACATGATCGCAACTCTTCCTTCTATGCGGTCGCATATGTGTTTTCCGGGACAAGAATTTTGGTTTCGTAATTTAAGTAAACTACCTATGAAAACAACTATAAATACATACTTTAAAACCCTAGAACGGAATCAGAACGTATAGAACTCCTCCAAACTCCATTATTTATTTTTTCTCTCTTAGATTTATGAATTGTAACTAAACTTTTACACTTGGTCGAAGAAAATGGAAGCCTCGAATCACATATTGTAAGATCTAAATAGTTTTTTCTTAGTGTTTGATTTATATTTTGCGTATTGAATGCTCTTCTACATTTATTTCTATGATTTGTTGCATTTCATTGCTAGATGGCTACTAGTTCATTGATTGTAACAATCTACCACTAAATTAAACATCAAATCCGTAATTGTTTGATCCCTTTAACTTGTGAAACACTAGGATTTGATAATTTTCTGCTATAGATGTTATTGAATCTTAAGAAG